CACCTTATTTGTCAAGTGACCAGAGATCGCTGAGTGGTTGCTAGAAATGAGCCAAGGATCATAATTTTCTCAAGGGAGCTCAGCAGTCCAGTGTTCCTCTTCTTTCAACCATTCCTGTGCAGAAGGAAAAAGAATTGAGTCAGTATTTTTCTGACAGGCAGAACATTTTTGTTTTGTTTTTACCTTAAAACAGATTGGAAGGAGCTGGTGTCTAACTCTTGCCAAAAGCCAGCTTTTGACACGTGCCAAGCGTATAACATTTTTGCCCCAAAGACAAATCTTTTGGAAAGCTCGTATCCCCTGTTCCTTGCTTCCCAACTCCAGGTGAGATGCAGAAGCAGACATTGCAGAACATCTCTGGAAGTGAAACAAAATTTTGTCTGAAGTGCCTTTCAGCTGCTGCTATGTAAAACCTATGCTTACTGTTTAGTGACCCTTTCACTCGGTGCAAGCAATTCATTTCCTTGTTTGGTGAGCAGACATCAGGGTCTTACAGATGATCTCTATTTTTGGACCCTGCTTTGTAAGTTATTTACATCTTCCATTTGCGGACTTCCAGGTGACTTCAAGGTTTCTGACCTGCAGCAACTCATGGTGGTAGATAAGTGTGAATCTCTAATGGTCTCTGATGGGTGGTGGAAGTTGCTGACTTTGGCTTGCCGATGTTCGTAATTGTTCCAGCTTTCTAAATTAATCAAGCCAAGCCTGCAGGTCTGAAGTTGATGCTCATTTACAGCATGTGAAATGCATTACGAAATGCCTTTTGCCACCCTTCCCTTCCCAGAGCAAGGTAAACTATAACCCACAATGGAAATAGTCTTATCACCGCTTGGTCCAGAACTAACCTGCAGAAGACTGAATCCTGCTCTCACCAAATTCAGTGGCAACTTTTTGACTCTGATTGATTTCAGTCATGCATGACAGAGCCTCTGTTTCTCCGTGCACACTGGTATTGTTTCTGCAACATGTTCTTGTTTCCTGTTCCCTGCTGTGGGACTTGTGATTTCAACAGACAGTGTTTGCCTCTGGGCTCATGCTTTGACTGAGCGGCACCCCCGGCACACAGTGGGCTGTGAAGCCTGTTCCTGTACAAATGCTGGGGACCAGATGCCCCAGCAACGTTCCTGCTAAGCCACAGGAAGGACCTTGCCTCCTGCATCTTCGTCTCTGGGGATATTCAGAGCACACTTAGTGTCAGCATATGTTAGCAAGAAGTGTGAAGGTTTGTTTGCCTGGAAGCACTGAAATGGCTTCCTTAAAACTGCACTTTGCAGATGCCTGTTAAAAGATCTGGATTTCTCCTGCATTAATCTAGCAAAGAAGCTCATAGTTACCATCCATCCAGATTTCTTATTTGGCATTTTAACAAGCTAGTCTGCATCTGAAAAGCAGCTTAATTCACAACAGTTCCATTTTACCCAATCTTCAGTTGTCCCTGGCCAGATGATACTCCCATAGGCTGAACTCACAGTAAGACAATATTGGGGTGCCTGTGCAGCTCAGATCAGTGCTTCCCAACCTTTTTTCTGGTTATCTAAGTTTGCAGTCAGTTTTGGCAGCATGGACTGAAAACATCTGTTGTTTACACGCTGGGACAGAAGAGCTTTCCCAGTTCTGTTCTACCTCTCCACTTTTTGGGCAATTGGTACCAGGGTGTGAAACTGTCTTTGGTGGTTGTGACTTATTTTACCTGTTACGGGAAACAGCAAACCACCAACTTGCTGATTACTCTCAAAGAGAACTATTGCCCCTCCCCAGCTGAGGTGAGCGTCGCAAAGGCCCCCCAAAGGCAGTGCATGAAGAGAGCAGCGTGTGCAGAGCACTCCAGATGCACTTTCTTAGGCTGTAGGATCACACGAAGGAGGGTGGGGCTGGGCATGGACTTGGGTGGATGTCCTCTGAAAACCATCTGGGTGATGCTGGAAGAGGCAGTGGTAGTTCAAGGGCAGGGGCTTTCCCTTCAGAGCCTGTTGCAAACCTGCACCCTGGTCAGCACTGGTCAGCAGTGTTGTCTTCAGGATGGCATATAAAAGCCCAAACTGCTTATAAGTCAGCATTGTTTTGTGCTGAGAGTCATGGTTCATGGTAAAAATAGGACATTCAATTATTTTTCAGTAAGAAGTATTCATACCTTTAGGTCTGCTCTTCATGAGACAGGACAAGGCCCACCTTTCTGCCTTGTGCAGATTCAGTGGGAAGTTGGAAACACCTTTTGCTGAGCTGAGCTTTTCAAAGGGAGGATCAGAGATGATAATTTTCTTACCTCATCTGCAAGCAGAGACCAGTTTGGGGCCTTTTGGACAAGACCTCTCCTTAAGTGGGCACAGTGTAAAAAGAGGACAAGTTCTCACCTGGAGTTTTGCCAATGTCAGGTATGGCCACAGGAGTATAAAGAGAAAGAGAACCGTGTCCTGAAGGAGGGACATGTATCCCCAGCCTTTCTTCCTTCACCAGTTAAAGCAATCTGCATCTCTTTGCAGATGAACCCCCAAACGGCCAACTTACTTACCTGCTGTTCGCAGAGCCCACGGTGCACATGGTGTTTGACTCCTGCACCCAAATGAACCTCTCCTTGTGTACAAGATGTCTTTAGAAAGAGCTTTGGCCATGTGCAGACTGTTAAAAGCTGGAGATCTGCACCCTTGTGAACTAAGGCTTGTCTGATCTAAACAATTCACATTTCAGAAGCAAAGAGGTTTATTTACGACCAGAAAGGCTGCCCTTGCCCTCCCCTGTCAAGAGTGTTGAAAGCAATCCAGGAATGAACTTTGCCTTTTGGCCAGTGTTTGGTAATGAGGGTGAACATACCTTTTTTTTTCTTTTTTTTTCCTCCCCATACCTATGCAAATACTGTCCTTTTTTGGCAATGGAACAGAAATACTCAATCAAAAAGAGGGGTTGGCCATTTTACTTTACAGTTTAACACAGTAGTAAAGTGCAGGGATATTTCAGTATGGAAAGAGTAAACAGCTTTATGGTTTTGGGACCCAGAATTGAAGGCCTTGGCGAATTCAGATGAAGCAATGGCATTTTTTGCCTTAGCCTAAAGCAGAAAGCCCAAGCCGCTAGAGAAAACCAGACCTCAGGTAGTAGGAGCTGATGCTGTTGAGTGGACTCAGCAGAGCTTTGCCAGTTAACACCAACTTGAGGGATAACCTGGCGAGCATTTGGGGACCTGCATATTGTACAAGGTAGGGCACAAGCTGCAGAACCTCTTACCCAGTGCTGCCAGTAGGAGCTGGGTCACAGCTCTGCTGTTCCCTCCTGTACCACCCAACCAGAAGATGCTGGGGAAGGTGGATCAGAGTGGCATGGGAAGAGCAAGCCAATACAAGAGCTGTATCCTCAGCTGCGTCAGTGGATTCTGTGAGTCCTGAGATGATCTTACTGACTTACAGTGATGAAATATGGCTGTGATTCTAGCACACATGGCCTATGCATGGTGGAAAGTGGAAAAACTCCATGAGCTTTTCAGCCATCTAGAGACCTTTCAACCCTGCACACAGGCTGCCAGCCATCTCCTTTAAAGAGATGCTGTGTCCCTGTATGTCATAAATTGCTGCCAACAGAAAAGTGGTGGCAGAGACCAAAACCTGCAGTGACATTTTTCCAGGAGGTCAGGATTAGGCTTAATTAGCTGCTGGGCTTGGTCCAGACACCAGACACAGGACCCCTATATGTGGGAACTGATGTTTAAGAGCACTCCAGTAAAGAGAAGTGGAATTACTCATTTTTTTGGTGGGCAGAGGAGCCTAGGCTGGACTGTGACAATTTGTCAGAGTAAGTAACTTCAGGGTGTAATTAGTCTTAAAAATCCAGTTTTCGGTGTCATGAATTGGAGCAGCTCCATTCATTAAAAAGTTCTGGCTTGAAACTGTTTTCCTGCATTGCAGAGGCCACAAGGTGCCCCAGTGTCTCACCTCACACTCAGTTGTGCATGGTTAACTAGAATGTCCCTTGGAGCATGACAGCCGTTTTTGGCACAGAGACTTCAGCGACAGCAAGTCTATCACTTCGCCTGCTGGATTGTTGCAAGGGATACATTATTTGCAGCATAGAGAGAGAGAGATATACATATATATAAAAATACGTATACACATCTCACTTAAGTAGACTTACATCTTTTAAGTCAGCAGACTTAGGCCTTATCTCTGTGTTACATCAGACTAAGAGCACTTCTCCGTGCTGGTGTAGTTTGAGTCTTTGTAAGATTTGTTAATTCATAACAGCGAAGGCAACATCAGGGTTAAAGAAACCCCCCAAACAATTGCAATTCCTGTGAGAAGCAAGAAAGGAAGAAGGAAAGGAAGGGCTAAATTTCAACAGATGCTGCAGCATGGAGTGCCAGAGATCCGGGCAGAGTCGCTTACCTGGGTGATGTGCTGGGCAGAGGGAGGTGGAGAGGGTGGTGTTGGTGGGTGGAGGGCAGCTCGCTGCGTCGCATCAGCCCTGGGAGCTGGAAGTCAGCCTGTAAATTGATACAGCCACAGGTGGCAGATCAGAAAGTCAAGGCATCTTAAATACAAGGCCTGTACGAGGCTTGTCTGTGCGAGGATGGGGTCCTGTTCTCTGCTGACCACCTTAAGGCTGTTTTGTGGCAACTTGACAATGGTCCTCCCCTTTGAGCAAAGAGTGCCTTCCTCAGCGTGATCAACGCTCCGCTAACCTGGGGCCCTGCTACAAACCTGGAGAAGACAGGGACTGCCAGGGGGAGCTGAATGATGCTGAGAGTGCAAGCAAGGTGGGCTTAGCTTGCATGAAACAAAGTTGGTCCTGATGCTGCCACAGTCACCTGTTCTCATTGCCAAAGAGCCTGTCACCTGCAGTGTCTCCCATGGGACTCTGAGGAGATGGAGTTCATCTCTGAGGAGATGGTGTCTCCTCCTGCCAGTGCTGAACGTGCTGCTGCTGGCTGCTCAGCTCCCAGCCACAGCACATAATGAACCGTGCCAGCCTCATCTCTTGTGTCCCAACGCTTGCTGTGCTCTTCTTTCCTGCAGATGCCTTACCTGCTTCTGAACCCATCCATGCCGGAGATGAGGCCTCGAATGTACCCTGTGTTTTTTGGAGAAAGCATTGAGGTCAGCCCTGAGCCCGTGCAGGAAATCAGGTACAGATGGGATAGGTTGGCTAGGTAGGGATTTCTGTCTTTTTCCTGGCGCTTTTCCCTTTGCAAAAAATTAAAATGTGTTTACAAATGGGAGTCGTGGTTATTTTGATGGGAAGGGAGGGACAGGTGGGAGGGTAATGCCTGAATTAAAAAGGCACTGACAGCAGCAGAAGCAGGGGGGAGGAGGCAAGAACTGGAGGGAGGTTGTAAGAGAAGTTGGCTTTCCTTCCAAGGCCAGCTCAAATCCAAGGCTATGAGAGAAAACCATTACCATCTGTAGGCTTGGTGGCCCCCACTAAGTAACCTGATGGTCTTTATCTTGTTCTCTGCTGACGTGTATCCTCAGAAGAAGCAACACCCTTATAATTGGCACCTGGTTTTGTTAGCCCTTGCAGCAAAGAACCAACATTAGACTAGCGCACAGAGACAGAGTGATCTTCTCATGAGGAGGTGGTCCCTCAAGCCAGTGATGGAGGTGTTCTGACCTCCTGTGGGGCTGGTGCTGTGGCCTGTGGATAAACGTATGTCTCTGCTCTTCCTTCACTCTTTTGCTGGTCTGGAATGTACTGTGCAAACAGCATGGAGCAGTCACACACAGCTTGGGGCAGGGACAGTGGGAGGACTGTAAACCCAATTCCCACCCCCCTCAACCTATGCAAATGTCTTTCTGGAAATGTACCCCAGTAAATCTCTGCTTGCTGAGGAACTGCTGGCGGGCATGTTTTTATGGTGATTACATCGGAGTCTTGTTTTATGTGTGCAGAATGACTTGCTTACACCCTAGCTGTGCAAAATACATTACAGCAGCTCAGATTACATGCAGAGCACAATCAGTCAACCCCCCTCCGGGTGGAGGTAATGACAAGCACACACCCAGCTTTTAATCTTTTTTACGTGGAGCTGCACATTCCTTGGCTGCTGTTTGCCAGAGGAGCATTTGGGGAGCGGGGAAACAAGTGAAAGTCCTGCTGCTCCCCATGGCCAGGGGTTCTAGGAAAAGCCCTTTACGTGACCTGGTGTCCATACATCCCTTCTGGATGCCTGCAGAAAACAGGCAGGGCAGTGACATCCCACATTTTGTGGGTTCTTCATCTGACGGCTGTTAACATGGCCACTTCCTTTGAGACCAATGGCTTGGATATTGGACAGCCATAGCCCACAGCATCTCTTTGTTTTACCTGCTATTTGACCATTGCTTGGATTTTTGGGAGGCCCCAACAAGCAACCTCACCCCTCATCTACTGGCACTCTGATTTTAGCTAGCTTGGGCATCTTTGTGTTCTGATGGCAAGGCAATATAAAGATAAAAAACCAAACATACAGCCTTGACAGCTCAACAAGTGTCCATTACACCATGCTTCTGCTATCTATGAAAACCTTATTTATGGCATTATTTTCCTGCCAAGCCAGAGCTTGCATGGATGACAGGGCCTGTGAAAGCAGCAGCAGGCATGAGTAGGTTCCTCCTGACCCCAATGTGACATCCCATGCCCATGGCCCACCAGCAGCATCTATTCAACCTGGTCACTGGGGCAGTGACACCCTCCAAGCCTAGCACTAGCAGCAGGGAGTGTGGTGAGACCTGCCATGAGTCAATGATCAGGGGACCTTTGTTTCTCAGGGACCTTCAGCATTTCAAGTTGATGCTGCGTGGCTGTGCTTGTTAAAAATGCTCAGGAAAAGGCTGGATCAAGAATTTTTCTGGGATTTCAAGCTTTTCCTGCACAGTCCATGGATGAATGTCCATTCCTCAGTCTCTGAGCTACCACAGCTGAGGGGGTTTCACCACCCCTTGATGGCCTTTGCTAATAGGGTGTTTGCCTCCAGTGTAGCTCTCAGGGCTGAGCTGAGGCCCCAGTGGGGCCCATGGAGGAAACCAGAGGAGGAATCGGGTTGCTTGGAGCTGGTGCAACAAGGTCTTTTCTCTCCTAGCAGGACCAGGCAGGCTTGGTCTTCTGTGCTCATGCACTGCAGAAATGCTGAGATGGATTCACAGCAAGGTGGGGTTCCACCAAGATTCACCAGCAGGAAGGAGTCCTCTTGGCCCTCAGCTTTGGGTTGTAGGGTTGGCAGCTGCCCTGGTGTCTGTGCAGTAAGAGGTGATAAATGTTGCCAGCTCCAAAGGGTTACAGAAGAGTCCTGCCTATCTTCTCTCCTTTACTGCCTGGGCTGTGTTACTGATACCTTGCTGTCCTCTGTAGGTGCAATTCTGAGGTGAAGTACGACTCCGAGAAGCATTATCGGGATGACATCTTCTATGGCCCTATCCCTACCGTCACCACCTACAGCGAGACAGTCATTGCTGCTCCCAATTGCACCTGGCGGAACTACAAGTCCCAGTTGATCTTTGAGCCTCGCCAGAAGCCACTGAGGTTTCAGAGCACGACCATCATTTTTCCTAAGCGTGCCAAGAACATTTACCGGACCACCCTCAACTACAGCTTGGGTTGTGCCAAGCGTTGGTTTGCTTCCAGTGTGCAGCTGGAACTCTGCGAGGAAACCAGCCCGTGCATCATCTACAGCGAGACCCTCTGATCTGCCACTGGCAACCTTGTGACCTCAAGGAGGCTGTGGCCTTTGCTGGGTCTCTGGCTGGGCCTTCATTGATGGCGACTGAATATTAATGGCTGGAGAACACGTCGTCTTGGGTGAGGCTGAACTGGCTGGGAGGAGGCTTGCAGGGCATGGGATGGTTTTGATCAGTGAGAGGCTGGCTTGTATTTCGTGACGTTCCTGACATTCATGATCTGGATTTTATTTTTGGGGTTTTTTTCCAAGCATATCTATTTTTGACTTGTGTCTAGATGAAATCAAGATGACTAAGGACCCATAGCAGAATGCTGCCTCCTGAGCTCTGTAGGTCTCGTCTAGCACATACGCGAGACTCGGTGTAACCTTCAGAGCTATTTTGATCTCTGCAAAGGGAAGACCAACTGCAGAGTCAGTGTCCAGTCTGCCCAGCATACACCAAGCCAGGTCTCTTAGAGTTTAAATGCAGAGGAAGTGGTTATTTGTATCAATACATCACAGCTTGCTCCAACAGCTCATCTGGGAGATGATAGCTGCAATATTACACCACTGCAGTAACCTCAGGCCTAACTTACTGGGAGGAGTGGGGACTGTCACCGAGAAAAAAACCAAGAAAACAGGCACGCACTGCTCTTGCTAGCAGCTAGATGTTTATATACCATAGCAAGGCACAGCACAACCAGGAGATGGGAGACAGGCCTACCCCAACATATGGCCACCTATTCTGTGAGCCCAGCCAAGAGTATGCAGGGGAGACTGAGGAAACTGAATAGCTGAAGGGCTATTTTCTAAAACTGTCCAAGTGATTTAGGAGCCCAGTGCCCTTTTTCAGAAGTACTGTCAGTCCAAGTGTGCCATGCTGTTTGTTGTCTCAAACACCCAATTTACAGGCATCTTTACGCACTTGCAGCCCTTCTGAGTTTCAGGGTATGGCTGTATTACAGAGAGGAGTGTAGTACAGGAAGATTCTATCTAGCTTCAAAGAAGCCAGTGCAGGGTTAACTCGTAAGCAAGGTTGCTCACCCTCTCAATAGTTTCCATACCTGTGGCATGGACAGCTTCGCTGACTGGAGGAGCAGCCAAACTTTCTCAGTGTAGAGCTTGAAGTATTGAAGAGCCCAAATCCGTCCAGGTTTTCCTTAATCAGCCAGGCTATAGCAATTCAACAGGTACTTCACAAACAGCTGAGCTGTCTCTGCAAAAGGATCAAGAAACACTGAGAGAACAGGAGTCACTACAGCCATCCTAAGGTAAACCATTCCCCACTCAGGAATCACGTCTCCTGGTATCTCTTCACTTTGGTAGCTCACTGAAAATCTGCAAGAACCTGGATTCCCACAAATATATAACCTTTGAAAATAGCATGGAATTGTCTCCAGAAATCTTACCAAGAATTTTTGCATGCTGCTTAGAAGAGTCCAGACTTAGAAAATAACCGCACAGCTCCGGAAATTAATTTCCAGCTTTCCCTCTTCTAAACTTCCCATTTTGTGCCTGACTTGCTGTGAGTCTGATTGAGTTATTTCAGAACGCAACTGAACAGCCAAGTCAGAAAACCTGTTAACAATGTCAACAAGATGTAGCTGATTGCCCAGAAAGAGTTGACGCACAAACCCACAGAGATTAAAGAAAATATATCTGAAAAACTTAAAAAAATAAAATAAAAAAGACTTATAGAGATACTTTTTCCATCAGTTTCAAAAGGCAATTGGTAAATGTGACCAGAACTGTGACCTTTATGAAACAGAGTTCTCTTATTTAAAATGAAGCACAATTTTTCCACCAGAAGTAAATATAAGGTCTTTATATACAAACTTAAATCCTGACAGCTGAAGCATCATTAGTACTGAAATATACGTGCTATGGCAGTGATGAACTCTGCCTCTCTGTTCGGGAGTTAGGACTTGGTAGGGAGAAATCTCTCAAAGGATTTCCAAGGCTTCCACCTACTGTTGAATTCTTTTCAGCAACACAGAAACAAGGATTATATTTGTCCATTGGTCAGATTTTGCTGTCACTGACTGTCAGCATCAAAGCCTGGAAAAGCAACATCTGCCTCCAAAGGGATTATTATACCTGAAGCAATCCTTCTCCCCAGAGCTCCAGCAAACGTGAGTGCTGCGGCGCTAGCTTAGGCAGCAGGGCAGTTGAAGCTAGGATGAATGTGGTCCCAAGTGCAGTGCAAGTTAGTGATGCGCTTACTTGCTAGCTCATGTTGAGGTCTATCCTGTTTCGCCAAGTGCTGGTGAGTGAGCCTTGTGACCAGTGGAAATACTCATTTGCTGTCCTGGGCACATCGTGAAGGCTCTGGAGGGCTCTATCCCTGCACCTGTGAGAGTCTGTAGCAAAGGGGGTAGGTATCCAAGCGGAGCAACAGTGTAATCCAGGTTCAAAAGCAGGGCCAATACTCATACCCAGGAGATCCCTGCATGATGACAGATTAGATTGCAGGCACCTCCACTGAGCAAGCATGGAGACAGGCTGACCTCCAAGCTGCAGGGATGCCAGAGACTCCCTATTCTGACCATACATTAGGCTTTTCTCCTGCTAACAGTTGGATTATCCCCCTGCTCCAAGCACAAAGCTGCAGTTTTTGATCACGCTGGTCTTTGAGCCGGACAGGTTTTCCCCAGAAAATCTCTTTTATCATAGCCACCTGCAGGCTTCTGCCCACTTTGTCCACTGTTAGCTCTGCTTCCTAAACATTGGCTGCAACAGAAGAAAAGAATTCAAAGAAGGCCAAAACACTTGTGCGCAAATACTAATCCAGTGGAGAGACCTGAACCACAGCCTGGTCTTTCACCATGCAGGGACAGGGGCTGCTAAGGCAAAGTCTCCCAGGTGGATGTGACCCCCAGGAGGGTGCAATGGAGGGCTGCATCCTTGGCACTGCAGGGTCCCCACACATCCAGGCCAGGCCTCTTTGAAGCTTCGTGCTTTGTTTTCTCTGCAAATAGACTAGAAGTGACCTAACATGCTCCTGCCCCTTTGAGCTTAAGCAGCTTTTCTGGTTTTGCCATGTCAGGAAAAAAAAAAGACAGAGAGCAGCTCAGGTTTCTAGGCTGCAGAGCACACTTTGAGCTGTGTAGCCATGGACAGGCCATGGTGGGTTACCACCCTGGACCACATCCAAACTGTGGCACTGCCAAGTGCCTGAGATCTGTAGAAGTGGTTGAAAAATACCTTTTTATATGGTGTCTCCCATGGGCCCATCACAAGCTGCTTTTCTTCTCAGTGAAAGCTGGCACTGGAAAGGGACTTCGTTTTTCCTGAAAACAAGAAAATCACAGAGGGTCAGGTCTTCACCCTTGCCTGGGCACAGATCCCACCCTGCCCACCCACCCTCTGTCCCTATTGCTTCTATCCCTGTGGCTGGGTTAGATGGTGGTAGAAGAGCCAAAGTTCATCTTGCTCATGACTGGGAGAAGTGATGACATTTTTTTGTTTTGCTTAAACACCAGAAACTGAATTTTGTGTGTGTGTTGCCAATTAAGAATTGCTCTGAGCAGTCAAGAAGCGCCGTACTTGTAGTATGTTTGTACATCTAAAAGGAACGGTTAGTCCCACTAGAGAGGCATTTTTCTTTTAAATGGAGCATTATTAATCTCAACCAACAGATCTTTGTTCATATCTATTTTCTCAAAGATACAAATGATAAATTTAGACTGTGGAAATACATGCTTCTTAGAAAGGTGAGTTTCCTTGAGCAGCTGGGTCTGTGGCTACACAATTTCTCCCCAAGATCCTAATGTGCATGATGCCCACAGTCCTGTAAGCCTGATGGGTAAAGTCAGACTCTGCCTTTAGAAATTATTTTCCATCAATAGTTATTTTTGATCAGAAACTTTCCCAGAAGGCATCTGTTTTTTTGGGGGGAAGGTTATTTTTTTCAATGTGGAAAGTCACTATCTCAAAGGTGCAGGGTTTGCCTTTCATCCCCTTCATTCCTGTGATTGTTTTGCCCCTGAATGCAACAGAGCATGCTTGTGTCTGGTCTGCCTGCAATGCTGTCTTTGCATTTGGGGCCAAAAAGAGGGAATCCGAAGTAAACATTGAACTTTCAGAATCTGCAGAATACTTTGCACAAACCGCAGAGAACAACTTCGACCGAAACAGTTTACTGCTTCTTTTGTCTTTGTTTTTTTTCTTTTTCTTTCTTTTTTTTTTTTTTTTTTACCTAAGCCAGCTCTGCTTTTCTCAATGTGAAATACAGAGAGATTCGCACCCTAGGTGCCTACTTTCTGGAAATGATGAAATGAGGTTTGGGTGTTGATAGCAGTGTTTGAGTGAGCTGCTGGTCAGAGAAGTGAATGCTATTTACTATTTATGTTGAGTGTGTCTTAAAAAAAATGGGAAAGGTCACTAGAAGGCTAATGAGCAGAAAACTTTGTAGTGTAAACTGAAAACTAAAGGCTGCGTGAATCTGATCTAGAGGCGAATGGTTCTGTGTGTGAACACTGTGAGCTAGGATATTTAGCCATTTTTAACCTGCCTTTTTTCCTGTAGGGAGGGGCATCCTTGCCTTCTTTAGAGCTGAAACAAAATCAGATCCATCCTCTGTCACAGTCATTCAGTCCACTGAAGTCTGTCAGCATCAGCGTCCCCAGGCTTGTGGGGGACTGTGTGTATCAAGCACTCATCCACAGAGCTGTGCCTCTCTGGAGATGGGGGAACACTTTATAGGGAATGATGGATCTTGTTGTGGGATATTCACATTTCTACCACCAGGTAAACTCTGCTCCCTGAGTATTACCCCATCACTCACAAATTGATCTGTTCTGAACATGTCCCCTAAAGCTCTCCTATAATCATTGTATTTTGTAAGTCTTGGGAGGCACTAATTCTTTTTCAGATACTGTGATGGCCATCAAAATGAGCAAAGTATCCTACCATGTGAATTGTGACCTGAAGATGGGGTTGGAAGGTGTTTGATGGTTAGAGAAGGAAGAGAACATACAACTGGTGGAAATGCATAAGGATGTGTCATATTTTTATTTTTGTAAGTA